GGCACTTCTTTCCCTTCCTTCCAGACCTCAAGCAAACCATTAGCATTTCATTATGAAGACAAGAGCAATGCTGCCTTTACAATCACTTCATTATTAACATCAATTAGTAATACAAGGAGAATTAGAGGCCCCAGAGATGACTCTGAAGTGCCAGACCTATCACTGGAAGGCCACTGCTAACTAGGTTTAATTGTACTTATGCCTAAAGCACCATATTTACAAACATTACCATGCCTCCTGCTTGTGGGACAGTGAGAAACCCCAGAGATCAACAGGGAGGACTGGAAAAAAAATACTTGATTGTGCAAACAACAGGGAGACTCTGCAAGAAGAAAACGCTCAGTCTCAACTTCTTGCCCCGGCAACTCCTGCCTCCAAAAAAAAAATGTGGCAGTTTTCCCTCAGAACTCTTCCTTACAGCTCCCCAAAGTACCCCATAAATACCAGTCGGGAGAAAGAATGGCTATAAGGGCAAGTTAATGTTAGTTGGGACACAGGGAAATCACCAGCTGCTAAAGCAGGTTGGTCAGGGCAATAAGATCTTAGTATTTTGAAAAATTCATTGTGAAAAAGAAGGTGTGAAACTTTCAGTCCCAGGAACACCTTCATTCTCATCCCTAGAGGAATCTGATTAAACAAGACAGGTCAGATCCCCACACTGTGCACCCTGCAACCCCCTCCCACATGCACCCTTCCCAAGAACATCACCCCTCCTGTGCTGGCCCGTGCATCACTGGAGCAATTCTCATCTCAGAATGGGAAAGCCACATTTCACAGTGTGAGTGTCCAAAAGGACTTTCCCACCATCTGAACCCTGCTTTGCAAATGTCCTTGTTGCACCTGCAGCAAGCTGAACCAGCCATGTTTGGGTGAAACCCTTCTTCCAGAAAACATCTTGCTCAGTTTCAAGTTCTAATGAGGAAGAATTCACACCATTACATCTTCTCCCCACCCCCCTCATCCCCCATCATCACCCACTCTGTGCATCTTACTTTAAAGTTTAAGTTTCTCCTGTTTAAAACTCAAAACCTCTAGTTATCTTACTTTAATAAGCAGCCAAATCACAACTGGTTGATAAATTGAACAGAGTTGCTCAAGTATCAAGAGTGTGTGTATGTCAGGTCTCATTTCCTCATCTGGAGATCCAAGGCCATACTGCATCACGATCCGAGAGCACTTTGCATTGTGCAGTCTTCATAAAATGAAGGTGAATTCTGCCCTTGCAAAGCAAACCTCTGCCAAAAAGTCACAGTTGTCATCAGGCGACCCTCTCCTTTCCCCAGAACTGTGTTTGTAAAGAGAGAAGTTAGTATAGAAAGATCCAAGAAGGGGAGTAAAACCTATCCATGGGCAGCCACAGGATCCAAGGCCTTGTGCAGATATTAAAGAACGTTAATTTGAATGTGTCCTGCTAAGCAGTCATGAGCTTTTACAAGCCTTTTCCCTCCAAACACATTCTATAATTCTCTCCCCCTCCCCGTACCCCCCAAACAAACTATAGATAATTCGTGTTTTGTAACAAGCATCCTACAAACAAGTAGTCTGAGCATTACTGAATAGCGAGACCTTTCTTCAACATGTCGAATGGCCCTTTACTTTGCATCTCTTTAGGGTTACATCAACAAGTAGTCTGAGCATTACTGAATAGAGACACCTTTCTTCGACATGTCAAACAGCCCTTTACTTTGCATCTCTTTGGGGCTACATTAGACAGAAAATTAAGCAGCTCCAGCACTAAGAAGTCTATGGTTGTCTGTTTTTTTGTTTTGCCCTTTTTTTTTTTTTTTTTTGAGCACTGATTGGTACTGCCAGCTTTGCACAGCATGGTCCACAGTCTCTTACCTAGGAGAGTCATGACCGTCTTCATAAGCTTCACTGGGGTCCTCCTCCGGCTAATGGATCCACTAGTGTGCGATGACAAGACATTTGTTTTCCGCTGGACGTACATGTAGATTCTTATGTAAACCACCACCATAATGAAGAAAACTACGAGGTTTAAGACACTCCAGAACACCAAGTAACTTCTGCTGTAAATAGGGGCCAGGGATGAGCAGGCTGTAATGTCACAGAGGCAGTTCCAACCCAGGGTAGGAACAGCACCCATAAAAATAGCAATGGCCCAAATTGATATAATTAAAAAGGTGACTCTCTTCTTCGTGAGGTTACTGTGGATCTTCATCCGCATGATCGACATGTGTCGCTCAACAGCTATGACGAGGAGGTTCACCAGAGAAGCTGTCAGGCTGGTATCCAGAAGACCCTGACGCAAAAACCAGCGGTTAACAGTTAATGTCTTAGACACCGGGCCAGTGTTGAACATTAAGAAAACATAGGCAATGCCAGCAAAAAAGTCTGCAGCAGCTAAATTGGCCAAGAGATAGTAAAAAGGAAAATGAAACCTCTTGTTTTTGACCACAGCTGCTATGACCAATGAATTTGAAACAAAAATGAAGAGGCAGAAAAAAGTCCCAAAACACAGAACAACAATAAGCTTTGGCCCTGTCCACTCATCTACCGTGTCAGTGTTTGTCCTGTTATAGAAAAAGTCCATGCGTCTATCATAGTAGCATTCGTTCATCCTGGATTAAAGCCCCTGAGTCCTAGCAAGGGGCAAAGAAGAAAGAAGAAAAAAAGAGGATTAAAATTAACTAATGGTCCTTGCCCAAATCACTCCACCTAACATATTTTTGGGAGGGTTGGGGGTGGGGAGGAAGTGGGGGTATGAGAAGAGATATATTTGACCGCCTCAAGGAAATTCATACTGTTCAGAGTTAATACAGAAGGAAATATTTTATCTCTGTAACGATAATGCCTTGGTGATTTGAGAATTTTCAGAAGACTTCAACCCCCCAAACCCCTTGCACCAGCACTTGTATCATATAGGCAACAAAGCTGACACTAAGAGGTTAAGAGTGACTTTCTGGAGGTCACAAGGGAAGTCTGAATAACAGCCTGGCCCTTCTTACTCTGAAATCCCATGTTTGAGCCACAGCTCCATTATTTTTTCCATTTCCCCATGTAGCCTGTCAAGACAGAGAAGCATAAATCACAACTCTGCCATTTTACTGACCAAGCAATATTAGTTTTTCAGTAATATGCTCTTTAAGTTGTATATTAATGAAGGTGATAATGCATGTACATGCAATGCCCAGGGGCAAATATATCTAAACACATGCTTATTATTTACTGCTACAGAATTTAAGAGTGCTGGAAAGGGTAAAAAAAATATATTCTACATATTTGTCTACACTAAACCCACAGATGATTTTATTGGACAGCCAGCCCAGAGGCCTGAGCGCAACACAGGAAAATTATCTTCAAAAACCAAAATGCAGTTCCTACCCAACCACAGAGTAAAGAAAGCCCCAGCAACAGTATGGGGTATTTTTCTTATACCCACTTAGCACTATTTTGGACAGATTGCTATTAAACACGATGGAAGGGGAGGCCTGCTTTCCCAATTACAACACACTTCAACCTCTCTAGCACATCAGCGCTAGCTGCCCTGGCAATTTTACTACGTTTATTAGAAACCAAAAGTAGTTCCAATTTACAGTGGCAGCTCTGGCAGTAATTATCTGTGGTGACCAGACACTGTGCAGGGTCTCGCAGCCTGGCAATAAGTTTGTGACTAATCATGACTAACGCCATAATTCTCTGCCAGTATTTGAATAAATGTGCTTCAGCATCAGCCTCTCACAGATGTGAATATCATTATTAATGGTTACTGTAAAATTATAGCAAAACCTAGGAATACAATTTTGGCATGAGATCTTACTCATGGTAGATTCTAAGAATTGCAAACTTGGAGGACAGGCAGGAGGAAGGATCTGCATATGATGCTACTGGGCAGGCAGGAAAGTTAATAAAAACTTCAGTAAACCTTATTGTAAGGCTCAGTGTGCTACAAGCGGCCGAGCAGTAGACTAAGCAAAGCTGGAAAAAGATATGGAAAAAAAAGAACTGGAAAAAACAGTCACAAGACAGAAACTACAGCAAGGCATAAGTTTTTCATCTTTACAGCTATAATTGATCTGAAAAGATCAGATTTGTTTAATGACAGGTACTAACTAGGCTAACAGCTTGCTCTACTTTCTCTGGGGACTGGGAAACAAATTACGCACAACCTCTGCAGACAGGTTGGCACATCTATTGGATACATCCACATCTATTTTCTTAAAATGCAGAATCTTTTCTGTAAAATATTCATCTTATATTAATGTTTTAAAAATATTTTATTTTGTCATGCAATATTTGCAGTATCTGAACTTAGCTTGTATCATTCTGTTATTAGTATTCTCAGTGAACTGGAAAAAAAAAATCTTCAAATACTTTGTTCTTCCTGAAACAGTTGCTTGCCATTTCTCAGTTTCTACCCTATATCTAGTAGCCAATGTGAAGGCCAGGCACATGATATTGTTGTCCATCTCCTTACCCTCAGGCTTTTAGGCAACTACTTATTTTATAAAATAATACCTTTTTTTGAAAGCATCAAATTTGAGTACATAGAACAATTCCTTAAGGATAAGGAAGGAAACAAGTAAATTATCTCTTACACTGAAATAATACAGAGCATCCCTTCACCTAATAATAATAAAAAAACAGCAACTCCATGATAAGGAGTCAGCTCAAGTTTGATTCCTATTTTTCCCCCTTTGTGGCAAAGCAGTAGAGTTGGGCAGTCAGTAAATCCCTAATCTTACCTAGGGAGCAGTCAAAAAGAGTAAGATGCTGTTAGATCTATACATAACTAAAATTCCCTAAGAAGCTGCAGACAACAGCTACTCATGGACAGGCAAGTGCTGGGAATCCTGTCCAAGTGAGATGACTCTGACCTTACTGCCTTGATGGGTAAAGACTTGCTGAGCTTAACAGGAAACTTTTACTGAACAACTCAAAAGCCTGCATATAGAAGCAACATTTTGGGCATGAACAGCAAAACCTCTGAAAATTATAGGGCAGTTTTCTGAACATGCTCTATGTTATTCAATAATCATCTCAAGAAATGAATCTCTCTCACTAGTTCTAACAGGAGTCAGATAGAACTGCAGACACTTTTTATATCTTATCTGAGAAGAAACTTAGAAAATCCCAAATGACTAAAAAACTTTTTTTTTTTTAATTATTCTGCTTACTGAGATACCATTCTCATTTGAAACAGTATGTTCAAAAAAGTCACACAACAGTAAATCTCCACCAAACAACCACAGTACAAACTCACTGTCACACAGCAGAGCTCAAAAAAACAATGCTCAAGAGTGGACTTCCAATGAGGTGTCTTGAGATGTTGAAATAAGGCAGGGAGGAGTAGAAGAGCATCCAGCTGAGGTCTCAGGGTCATGGAGCAGCCTTTGGAGATGTTACATCAGAAGAGAAGTGGAAGCTGCATCGAAACAGTAACCGAACTGAAGCTGAGTTGCATCCTGGTACTTCAGAGTACAGATGTAGCTGGCACTTGGTCATCTGCACCGACCTATGAAGAAAAGCCACTCGACCCTCCCCGGTCCTTCCAGGAAGTGGTTTATTTCATGCTTTCTTTTATTTTATGTCCTCACAGCAGAACTAGCCTGGGCTCAGGACAGCTGTGCAGCTGTCACAGACCTATGCAGCTGTATCCTCAGCAGCCTTGCACCAGTCCACATTATGCAGAAGAGATGTGCAATGGAGTATCCCATGTTTCGTAGCACAGCACAATCTAACACGTCGCAGGAGTTTATCTTCAGGGCTCCTCTTTGGCAGCCAAATTGAAGAAACTTATCTGAATCAAGGAAGGCTCAAGCTTAAAAGGGGAAAAAAAAGAAAAATCTCTTAAATTGTATTTCAAATATTTATCAAATATTTCAAAACAAAATTGAAAATACAGGCATGATATTGTTTGTCAAAGTTTTAAAAATAAAAGCTATATTAGTCAGACCAGTCCTAAAGTGACAGTCTTAGTAAAGGGCCAGAAACACACAGCTTGGGAACAAATGCAAAACCAGAAGATGCTTCCTTCAGTACTCTCCTAGCCTATATATCTCAGCCAGGGCAATTCCTGAGCCCGATGTTCACTCCGTATTTAGAAGTGAGAAGATTTCTATGAACTTAACCAAGCTCATGCATTAAGAATTCCTCCTTATTTAGCACATTTTGAATACTAGTCTTAAAGACATATGAATTCAAATACATGTTACTTGATAGAAGTTGTACAATATACTTCATTGTTCTCAAAAGCCAAAAGTTCGCATGAATGTATGAAGTAGCATATTACACTAGCTACTTACAGGATTACTAAAATAAACCATCTAGTTAGCATAGTTAGAAGAAAAGATTCACCTATATGCTGGTAAACATGCTTTAGTAGTTACTACCCAATTGAAATCTAGTTTGCTTTAACAATGTGACTAAAAACATGCATATTTATAATGAAATTTAATGTTTTTTTTTTTAAATCGAGGATTTTGCTGATCCAAATTGTGATTAAAATCATCTCTTTAACCACTGATTGAATTTTAATTCAGCCTATAATTCCCTTCCAAGTAGGGTCATTCATTATTAACGCAGACAATTCTGAAGAAAACCTCAAACAATTTCTTGCAGTAAGATTTTAGATGAGAAGGTCATTTAAAAGATTTAGCCTGCACACCACCAACGGATGCATGGCACACCACAATGCTTTTCTGCCCATTTCCTGTCCATTAAAGCAAACAATAATGCATTTGCTGCTTTATTGAAAAGTTGGCATAAATTTTAAGATGAGTGATGGCTTGTGCCTTACGCTGCCTAAGCGCCCCAGGGAGGAGACGGAGAAGCGCTGGCCCGCTGGGCTGTGGCGAGAGGCTCCTGGCCAAGCTCCCTGCGGGACGGAGATGCCCGCGCACACTTTGCTCAGGTGGCCTCAGCAGGCACCAGGCCCCGCACTGCTGCCTTCCCCAGAGCTGTGCAGGGACTGGGGCCCAAACTGGGGAGAGATCATGGTCCAGGAGCACAGTGGGGCTGGGCAGGCGGCAGCACCGGGGTTTGCTCGTGCGCCGCTCGCCGTGAGGCAGGCAAGGCGCCAGCCCGCGCCACAGCACTTAACCTCCCTGCCTGCCGCCGGCTTTCCATTCGTGAAGAAGGGTATGAGATAAACATCTCTGTAAGACACTTTCACACTTATTAAAATGGATAAATAAATCGGGGCTCTTCAGAAAGCAGGTTATTGCACTGACTTATCCCAGGCACAGGTGGAGGAGTAAGAGGAGACAAGTCACCCGAAATCACCAATCTGCGGCCTGTATTCAAAGTATTACTTGAAGCAGCACTGCTAATGGAGTTAGCATGCTTCCACGCCATGCCCTTAGCAAGCCTCTGGCAAGAGGTCCCTGAAGTGCTCTCACCTGCCTGCAACCTGCTCCTTGGGAAGACAACGCTGCCAGCCACCTTTTTGTTCTGCGTGAGACTTATTTTCCAATTTACTGAGGTCTCTCGCACCTCGTCCCAGAGAGGAGCCTCTGGAGGTAAAGGAGAGTAGGGTGCCCCTCGGCCAAGCTCCATGTACAAGTAGTACCCGTTCGGAAAGGGAATTGGTCGCTTGTTCTCCTCCACACCCTGAATAGATGTAAGGCCATGGAGAAGAACACAGCCAAATGATTGCATAGTAACCCAAGAAATCCGTTCAGGTTACCTCAGCCTTAAAAAAAAAAAAAAAAGGGTGTGTAACACAGCAGAAGCCAAAAATGTTAATATGTAACTGTAAGAAGGAATTTTATGAGGTAAGCACCGTGGTTTATTTTTTAATTGTCTTTAACAGTTAATCGATATTATACAAAAATCAGTTTAGAGAAATAAATTGAAAGGAAGTTTCTTATCAAATCCCCTTCTAAGAATCAGATTAGTTGCTGAGGCATGTAAAGAACACAAAATTAACTCTGAATGCCAGAAACTAAAAGAAAGCCATTTTATCTAGTATCATTGGAAGATGTCATACAAGCTGACAAGACATTTGTTCTGCAGGATTTACAGAGGAAAATGATTGCAAAGGCAACAGTTCTGCATTTTCTTACTAAGGAAATTCTGTGGGCATTGTCTGTACTTGGAATGGCACGTTACATAGTCCACTTTTCCAGAAATTGAGATTGAGAACACACTTTACAAGAGAGCAGGGAAGGAAAAAAAAAAGACAGCTGTACAATATAGAAAAAAGACTACTGGAAAAAAATATTCAAGGATTAATGAGTAGGCTGACGAGTACAGAAGATCTATTTATTATTAGGGAAACCCGCTTCTGGTAAGGCTTGGCTTTCCTGTTTTTTCCCCCCTTGAATTTGAGTATTCCCTAATGTAGGGAATTGGTTGCGAACACAAATCAAGCAGGCACAAGCAACATCATCTCATTATCTGAGTCTTCAGCTCCCTTTAGAATAAGGGGAGCAGAGAGCCACATTCATTTCCACTTCAATCCTTCATCTACATAATTCTAACTTGATAGTAAGTATAGTCAACTTTCCACAACAGTTCTGATCATTTTCAGTAATAGTCCATGTTAATGGTATCGATTTGGGCCAAAAAGGGAAATGGGGAGGGAAGTGAGGGAGATAAGGATGATTTTATACACAGACCAAATTTCTGAATAGCATAAATCATTTGTCCTTGAATTAGCACCTGCAATATATACTGCACGTACAAACATCCAAGGTTTTATTATTCATTATTAAATGAGAAATTCATTAAATCTAGTAAAGATTTAGAATCTCAAATCTAAATATTTAAATTGCAAAGGCAGGAAATAGTGCTGCCAGCCACAGGCCACAACATTTCGTGCACAAAGGTCGGCAAGAGCCTTACGAATCACTAGAGGGATGCAGAAGTGTCACCGTGTGCGTGTATGTGACACTGTGGCTCCTCTGTGAGCCACTCCAGACTGGCACCGTCAGCTGGGCTGCAAGGCACAGAAATACAGGGACACCCAGGCTAAGTTATTACAGAGCTAATTCCAAAAATCTCTTCAGTAAAAATCTCTTCAGTGCAAAGCTACTCTATTACACTAACTTGCTTTTTAAAGCTCTCATCCTCTACAAAAAAGTTGTTACGGGTAGATACTAAGCAACTCACTAGTTACCACAAGTTTAGACTTCAGACTTTGATAATTTAAGACTTTCTGAAATTATGGTTTTTCTAAATCTATATATGGAGTCCAAAATAAAAACTTCACTGCAAAGCTTTCATTTACAGTCTCCTAAGTGTGGTTCTGCAAGGAGCTGGCAGGTCATCCTATAATGCAGAAACAGACACGGTATTTAAAATCTTTAAAAGCCATTCACACAGCCTTTACACTGTAAAACATGCCTGGAAGAAAATACCTGTTTGGCTTCTGAACTGAGTTTTCCCTTAAGGACATTCAAATCAAATCACGAATGATTAAAAGATCCATTTTATAATTTCATTAATTAGCAGGGGTTTTTTGGAAACATATGGAATGCAAAAGACTCAATACATTGACTAAATATATTTTTCTTTTTCTGGTTTTCCAACACATAGCTTAAATCTTGACACTTGCAAAAAAAAATTACCTATTTATGTGATTTGTTAACAAACCCAGAACCTGGATTGCAAGCATACATTTGAGTGGCAGAAATGATGGCCTCCAAAAAGTATTTGCTCAGCACAGGGATGTGGAATTAATACCATATCAGTAGAAGGCTTCCCATCACAACTTAGACCATACATCTAAGAATTCACTTTGGTGAAATAAGACTATACTTTGATGCCAAGCTTTATACTTAGAGACCTCATTAGCTGATAGCAGAGACTCTGCCGGAGGATGTTCTGGAATGGTTGACAGCCACAGAAGCACAGGAGGACACAATCAGTCCAACTGGTCCGAAACTGAAGTCTGGCAACAAGGGTGGGCGCGAGGGAACTGCGGGGGGAACAACCTTCAAGCTCTATGTGCTGGTAAGAGCTGCAGCCTTTCCAACTGCGCATTTTTTTTAAGCTTACTTTCTCTACACAGACGAGTTTAGTGATTACTGGATTCTTCACCATATAACT